ATGTTTGAAGGACAATAAACACAGTAGCCTCCATTTGGCGTGAAAATGCGCTTGTTTTTTTATATCCTTAAACAATATACGTTCTTCGAAGCTCACAGTTTTCCCCGAGCTTCACTCTCGGGAAACTGTACGCATCTCGGAACAGATAATGTCCGTGAATAAATATCCGTGCATATTTTCGTGGTAGAAGGTGGCTATTGTGAGGGTCTCAATGGGGTGCTGGCTTTTACGGTTATCGGCTAAAATTTTGGCTCTTTTATGGCTATCGGTTAATTTTTTACAGTTACGGTTAACAAAAAAGTTAAAAATTAATTTCTTTGGTACCAAAAGGTTAAATATTAATAAACCTGTGTGTTTTTAATCTTTAAAGCAAAACAAAGGTGTTATGGTCATCTCAGGCTTAAATAAGTTATTCTTTTGAAAAAAATTTAGTATTTGAGAAATCATACCACTTCTAATATTATTTTACGCATAGAATTGTGAACTACGAAAAAGGATTCAACACAAGGCCATACACAATCTACCTGCCCCACCCAAGCACTACGGCGTCTTTGATGTTTTGGCCGGTTTTCAAAGTTTTTGCGAACTGGAAAAGTTAGGGTCGCATTAGGCAATGTGCCCCGATGACAGATTTTTACACCAAAGTGACCACATTCAGACCAAACTTTGCCAAGTGCGGCCCATGCCTTAGTGATCAACAGTAAGCGTTTTGCAAACAGTGACATCTCTGCTAGTTGCTTTACTCAGGTATTTCAAGCTCGCGATCTCCTGAAAATAACAAATATCAGTCCTCAGTAAGAAAACCAGTCTTTCGCTATCGAAACAATTAGCTCCCCAAACATGTGGGGAGCTAATTTAGTTTCTGCAATCCGCAAGATAAAAGACCCGCAAAAATTTCTTGCCACGCGGCATCCTAGTAGTCACGTACAAAATTCATAACTTTAAGAGTACTTACTGTTCAGCTCGCTTTCACTATCTGAGTCAAGCAACAGGGGTAGTTCCAGATCTAGCTGCTGCTGGGTCGATAAAGAATAATTTTCTATCTTGCCGCTGATTTTGGCGAGGCGGTAAAGTTTAAGGTCAAATTGCCCAAGACCGAACTTCCTGGCTTGCTCGTTAAGACCAAGAAAGTCAATAACGTTTTTCTTGAACGCTGAAAGTGTCCGATGCTCTTCTTGGACTTTGAGTCTTGCCTTGTATCTTTCGCTTGGCCTTTCCTCACCCGTTCGATAAAAACTAACAACAGCTTTCAATACCGACATCGTTCAACTCACATGCACACTGGGTGAAGAAATTGGANAAGCACTACGGCGTCTTTGATGTTTTGGCCGGTTTTCAAAGTTTTTGCGAACTGGAAAAGTTAGGGTCGCATTAGGCAATGTGCCCCGATGACAGATTTTTACACCAAAGTGACCACATTCAGACCAAACTTTGCCAAGTGCGGCCCATGCCTTAGTGATCAACAGTAAGCGTTTTGCAAACAGTGACATCTCTGCTAGTTGCTTTACTCAGGTATTTCAAGCTCGCGATCTCCTGAAAATAACAAATATTAATCCTCAGTAAGAAAACCAGTCTTTCGCTATCGAAACAATTAGCTCCCCAAACATGTGGGGAGCTAATTTAGTTTCTGCAATCCGCAAGATAAAAGACCCGCAAAAATTTCTTGCCACGCGGCATCCTAGTAGTCACGTACAAAATTCATAACTTTAAGAGTACTTACTGTTCAGCTCGCTTTCACTATCTGAGTCAAGCAACAGGGGTAGTTCCAGATCTAGCTGCTGCTGGGTCGATAAAGAATAATTTTCTATCTTGCCGCTGATTTTGGCGAGGCGGTAAAGTTTAAGGTCAAATTGCCCAAGACCGAACTTCCTGGCTTGCTCGTTAAGACCAAGAAAGTCAATAACGTTTTTCTTGAACGCTGAAAGTGTCCGATGCTCTTCTTGGACTTTGAGTCTTGCCTTGTATCTTTCGCTTGGCCTTTCCTCACCCGTTCGATAAAAACTAACAACAGCTTTCAATACCGACATCGTTCAACTCACATGCACACTGGGTGAAGAAATTGGAGATCTTAAAACAAAAAGCTGTCAACTTGTCCTACAAAACGCAGGCCAAGTGAGGTCAAGGGAGACTACCGGGGGTCCTTGAAACGAGCTTGGCCTATAAACGTATGAACCACATGTACGACATGTACGGAGTCAAAGTCAGCAAAATAAGAAATGAAACAGGTCATAAGTAAGTTTAGCACCTTCCTTAAAATTAAGAAATTTAGGGAACAATTTTTTTTTACGGTTACCTCTTTTGACCCCATTTACGGCTAACGGTTAAAATTTTTTAATTTTTACGGCTATCGACTAAATTTTTGGCCATTTTACGCCTATCGGTTAACCCCATTAAGACCCTCTATTGTAGCTGTAATTCGTAGAAACTCGCATCAGGATTTCTCTAGGATTGCTTCCTATCAATTAGCTGCTGACTGAAAGCACAATGTCGTAATGTGAATATTTTATTGTCACTATGATCATCATTAGCATTATCGTTGCTATTACTATTACTATTAACATAATTATTATTATCATTATTGCTATTATCGTTTTCAAAATTCATTATTTTACCACCAAATTTTGGCATTGTACACCTACTAATTTCGTACATAAAGAGTAGAGCGGAATATTTTGGCATTTTCATAATTGAACTAACGAGCGTTTTTGCGAGAGATGATGTACGGATTCAAATGATGAAAGTGTCAGCTTTTTTAGGGGCGCTGACATTTTCATTTAGTTTCGATAACGCTTGATTGGCTGTTTTGAAGGTGGAAGGATGAAAGAGGAAATGCTTTCACTTTTGTGGGAGAGCTCTTTGTATTTTTTTCATTCAGGTGCTGTTAGAGATTATAATCTTTTGGAAGCCGTTACCCTTGCTTTGACAAACAGCATATGTGCATTTAATTTGAAAAGCCATAAGCCAATACATTCGTTCATATCTATCTCCAAAGACAAAGCTCCCCTGATCGTTTAAAATATCTTCTCTATTTTACTTTTTATTACAAACCTGCCGCGCAACAACTAAAACTCGGGAAAAATGTCAGAGCACAATACTATGGTAAAGAACTTTACAATGAGCGCTACCTTGATAAAAACTTATCTAGGAAGAAATACTTTCAGCTTATTTCGAAAAACATATACTTTTTAACGATCAATGAGGTACATTTAGAACTCTTGATCTGGCCGTATTTGACAACGAAGCAGTGCAGATAAATGTTTGAGAATCAGTTAAAATCGGCAGACGTGTTTACAATTTCCACCCCAAACTAATGTTTGGCAGCGAAAGAAGTAATCTATCCAAATAATTTTTTTCTTGTAGCGGCAAAAGTAAAAAAAACTTTCATCATAGGGTAAGGAATCATGATTAGAATGTACTAAGGGTAGTAAACTTCCTCATTGGGTGTTGACTACTCCCTGTAAAAATTTCGATCATTGACTTAGGAACACCAGTTTCTTTGTAATATTTTCGAATGAAATTATAGTCAAGGAGTTTGTTCCGCTTAAATACTGGTTTCAAGTTTATCTTGTGGAGTCTTGAGAGAGTTACAAATGGATTGTTCTTCGCGACTGCTCGCTGAAATTACTTTCAATCCGTGGGAATAATTTTGTCACAAAATGTTGAGATAAAACTGACGGATGAGTACAACATTTGCGTAAAAACAACACAATTGAATTCTTATGCGAGAGTTTGACATCTATGATTGTATTTATTGAATCAAATTCACCATTTCTTCGTTCCATTGCTGCTTATTTGGAAAACTGTCGCTATGTGTACAAGTCATGAGGTTCACTTAGCACGTTCGTGGTCAATTGGGTTTCGAGTTCGTTTCTGTTGAAAATTGCTTGAACGCTTTGCCATTGTGTTGTAAATTACAATGTTATTACATGGATAGTTTGTGTGGTCTGTTGTGAACCTCCAGGAAGAATTGTTTTTGTGTCAGTTTATGATTTAATTCCAATAAAGAGATGTAATAAAATTCGCTGTGGACTCCTGAAATTGTATTTTCCAACAACAAAAGAAAGAATCTCAGCGGATATTGGATATTTAGGTAATTTCGCGCGACACAATTTTTAAAGAAAATCCTTGGTATTTCAGGTGCAATTTATGATTCGCAGTTTTAATAACAACACAGATAATGGGATCTTGATAATATTAGAAAAAGAAAATTGAAACACTTTCGCCTTAAGCTGACTACTTATAATGCCTTTAACGCTAAAATAAAAAACACAAATTTAGCTGAGATTTCAAGATAAATCCTTGGGAACGCTTCCTTGTCATTTGTTGATCAAGAAAATCCTTTTGCTATTTATTTTTCTTCTGTATGATAAACGACTGGGCGGTTTTTTCGTGTTTACGTTGCACAGGCGAACGCTTGGAGATTTGATATTGTTTTTAAGGAAGTAATTTTCAAAAGCCTCGGCGCAAACTTCATTTTTTATGCAAATTTCATAAATGTGAAAATTCAATGAAATCTTTATGCTGTCGGAAATGTGCGCGGTGATTTTGTTTGTGCAACAACATATAAATTGCGGGAAAAGCTTCTTGACCTTCATTAATCTGAGGCTGTGGGCAGAGTAAATTAATCTTTACCCAAAGGGCCTTCAAATCATCTTATGCGCATAAGAATGGTGAAACATTGTTTCAATTTGATTCATTATCACGCTTTTGTAAACTTTCAGGTCTTCTGCTGAGAACAACAGGAAAATTCGAAACACCACAGAAGCGTGTCTGACAGAAACATTGCTTCTATTTGCCTCTCGTTTTGGTATCGTGATCTTCCCTCGAAAGCAGTCCCATTTTCCAACTCGTTGAATAACACTCAACCACTGGCAAAACAACCAGTTTGGATGGACCAGAGACACTACCTAACAAGGAGTCTGTAAACTTGATATCCACGGGGAGCGTTTAATAAAGAGACAAATTTTCCTTGCTTCATTGCAATAACACTTTTTAAAAACGTCAGGAGTCACATAAGCGATGCAAGGGAATCTCAGCAACGTATCTAGCGATATCCTCGACGCTGATGTTCAGTTTGACGGAGAGCTTATATTTCTGGTGTTCGTGTTGTTGCTAATCCTTGCAACAGTCGCCGGTAATGGCTTCGTATTCATGGCCGTTTATACATTCCGTGAGTTGCGGACGGTGACAAACTACTTTATAGTGGCCCTTGCCGCGGCAGATGTGGCCGTTGCTCTTTTGGCGATGCCAGTATGGCTTGTAAGATCACTTGTTCACGTTGAAAAGGAACAAGATGAATATGTGATAGAGTTGTGCACCCAATGGATCGATCCATTCTGCTGCACAGCATCCATTGTAAACGCTACGTTAGTCTCCATTGACCGTTATTGTGCCATAAGCAAGCCGCTGCACTACAGAACTATGGTGACACCACTTCGTGCTAAGCGCTCCATAGCCGTAGTGTGGGGATTCGCTGTGGCCATCGCAGGAATCTCTTTCCTGCAATTTCATGAGTCCTACACGGTTATCCAAGGCTATGTTTTATTTCTATTTGTGACGTTATTTTGTATTCCCTTGATCACGATGTCGTTTGCGTACATCTCGATCTGCAGGGCAGCCATCCACCAGATTTCCAAGATGCACTCCACACGACTTAGCTCGACTTCTTACGACCAAGACAGGAAGCAGTCGTTTGAACGACGAAAACGCTTCTTCAGAGAACTGAAAATCACTAAAATGCTTGCCGTCATAGTGAGCCTATTTGTAATCTGCTGGAGTCCATTCCTTGTCGTAACCCTCATTGAAGCGTTTACGACGAAGGAAATTCCAATTGCAGTTCAAGGTGTCATCGTGTTTCTTCCCTACGTGCTTTCATGCGCAAACCCTTGGATCTACACTGGAATGAACAGGGACTTTCGTTTGGCTTTTAAAAAGCTTTTTTGTACCTCAAAGATTCTATGCCTCAAACGTTCCAGAGAGGGTAACGCAAACGAGCGCATGTTGAGGCCACTACCGTCGACCACAGTCGATGAAACTTTTATTTCTAATGGCTTGCGACAAGGGTCCAACTCTATTCGAAAGATTTCCAATCGTGGACCAGAAATCTTCATTACTGCCGTTTAACTTTTGAGATGGTCGCATAGAAAATATCGATTAATTCCTTCATCTCCAATTGTTTTTTCAATCGAGCTAATGACATTATAAATATGATTTAAAGCCTAAAGGATGCACTTTTGCAAAGTTAAATGGATTAGGAGAGTAAGTTGACGTTCTTAATTGGTGTGACATTGCTCGGCAGACTTCTAGAGCGATTGTGTTCGCCCAATGTCATTACTTTAACTGAATGCACCACAGTTATAATGAAAGGTGATAAATGTTCTGAACTCAGCTGTAGAAGATATATGCTCATCTAAGAAATCACATAGTGGCAGACACAACTTAGATCCAAACCCACGTCCATTTGCATTGTCTTGCGATACGGGGGGGACAATGGACAAAAATTTCTTTGCAGGTGACTGTGACAAAATAGATGCTTAAAAATAGATAGTGTTGGCGTCAATTAGTGACATTTGAGATACATGAGGGAATATTGAGGACAACTGGGTTTTTAGTTAGAAGGCAGGCAATGTATTCAAATTGTAATGAAGGATCACCTATTCGTCTTTTCGTTCGATATTTTGCAAAAGCTAACCGTAAAACAAAGGATATGGTTTAGCTCGTGTAGATTTTGAACCCACGGTTTACGTAACCGATTTAGGGTTAAGAACCGAACCGGTGATGGTCACTGTCGATAAAAACAATAAATTTTATTTGCTGTCCGAATGCACCAGAAACTTTTATTGAGGTTTTCTCTTTTGGAAAGAGAAACTTTCCCATTCCCAGGCACGCTTTAGTATAAACGTGCCCAATAATGAAAGTATGTTAAAGCAGAGAAAAAAACAAAAAACGTGTCGAAAATTCCAAAGTAGTTCATTAATTTCGTATCGAAGGAATGCAGGAAATTTCTTCAAGCAAGTCTATTTTCCAATCATTAAAACTATGCGAGGGCGAGATATACAGAGTTATAAAACGACTGGTGGCCGATCAATTTCAGATCAAACTGGCAAACAACGAAAAAATCCTATCTTTCATTCTTGCGAAAATTGTTGTCTGTCGCAATCAATTTCGATTAGTTTCTTCCTGTTTCAGTCGACAGCCACACATGATACTCACAAAAAGGTCATAACGTAAAGGCAATTTCTATTTTTTTTTTTATTTTAAGATATATGGCCTCCGCCGCAACTATCAGAAAACCCTATCCCAACATGGTTCTAAAAAGGAATACACTGAGAGAAAAGCTTTCCGAAATCTAAAGCTAAGATATAACAACTTAAAAGACATACACCTATCGCTGGGACACTGTTCCAAATCTGTACCAAAGCTCTTTTTACGACGAACCTTTTGGATTATGTGCAGATTTATTTGCGATCGTATTGGCATAGCTAAATTCTTCAAAATAACAATATTTTATGCTGGCCATTCTTGTATTCGGTTGCCTCGATAACCTCGCGGTTTTCTTAGCCTCCATGCACGAACTATGGAACACTGTTACCTTTGAGTTTTACATATGTATCCTTTCCTGTTTTTTTATGTTAATATTGTAACTAAAACTTGAGTGCTAAATAAAGTAAAGTTGAAGTTGAAGTTGAAGCTTATCCAGTTGCAATTCTAGATAAAAGTAGATAAATAGGGCAGTGAAGAACTTGCGGTGTTCAGTCATAGAAGTAGTAAATTAATTAAGGCAACATCTGATTGGTTGCCGAAACACCTATCCTTACATTTGTTCTATAAAATATACAAAATTGTTTGGGTTATGAAGGCTGTTTGGGCTTCCATTTGTGTCAATTTTGTCTTGAATTTTTCATTTCATCTGAATTGAAATTACGAAAAATTAACATCGAGCTCATTTGCTCTGTACTGCTCATTCCAAAATAGATCTAGGAGAGATGGTACACCATACACTTTAGAGACGCTTTTTTTTTGTACGTTTTTTGCCGCGTTTTTTTTTTCTTTGGATACATTTCAAATATTTCCAAGATACGAAATCCCAGCAAGATGTTTCTCTAGTCAAAAGGACCGACAGAAAGTTTATTTACCGGTTCCTAATTTCCCACACGCGTTGTTGACTCACCAGAAAACAAAGGTGATTTGCTATCGTACGTCGTTGAATAAATATTGTTTTGAAGTAGTGGGTATCTTTGAAAAGAAAAATTTGCTCTTATTCAAGATATTCTACGATCTAACGGAATCGGCTTCACGACGCTACACTATGATGATTGTGAGTCACAAAAGTGATCTGATAATTCTAAAGCTCAGTGAAAGATAAGATGTCATAAATTGAAAACAAGTTCCTCCACGTTTAGTTTACTTTGATGAGTTGACAACATTAGTTGCCTAAGGAATTCCTTTGGTGATGAAGCTTACATGTCACATATATGCATTGATGGTTGCGAAAAAAAATTTTTTTCCAAGTACAGTATACTCGGCAGGCTTTATGCATATTACTTCAGGTGTTTGTTTTAAGCAGTGCTTGATCATTGTAAAATTTATCTTCAGGACAAGCACCGGGCAAATTGGCTTGAGCGTACCAAACTGGCAGCACTAAGTATTTTGTAAAAAATAAAACTCACGTCCTCATAATCCTCAAATAGGCAAACCACCAAATGTACAGTATGATCAATTTGTATTCCGAGTTGAATGCGACAAGAAAAAAGAAATATTTTAGAATTAAAAGTGTTCGATATTAATAGAGATCGATACTGGCAATATTTCAAGAACATTTTCGGCTTTTTTCTTCAATGTGAAGTAGCCAGTTAACAATGTGAGCTGGAGAAGGATCTCATAGTTCTAAACTAAATAATGATGTGCAGAAGGATTTTGCCAAACATATCGCCCAAACATATCGCCCAAACAAGTCTGAAGATCGAGCTAATGCAATCAGTTTTGCTGGACACACTACAATATTTACCCTTGCAAAATAACGCTATCTTAGTTTTAGTCTATGATAGGAAGAGTTTTTCTAACCTAACAAAGTGGAAATGTAACGTCAGATCGGCAACCGAAGATTTCTCTGCATTCAGTTTAAAGACGTGACTCAACAATTTTTTCTATGAAACACGAACCATTTGATGACTTCACCTTGTATTTACAACTAGATGGGAATATTCTGTCAAGTCTGTCCGTCAAATAATCGAAATCTGTGATTGTGAGACCTGGGCGTGACAGCTATCGTTTCTCAGCCTAGAGAGATAATCAAAGAAAGGATCGTTTTCAGTTGTTCAGTAGTTTCATGATGAACTTGCGGAGGTAATTTTCCTTGAACCCTTACAATTACAAGTCACGATACATTCTAAGTCTTACCAAGTTGCCTTTGAGCTTTTTCTCGAGCAAATTCAACCTATCAAAATTTGACATAGACAGTTTTCAACAAAGGACTTTTCCAAGAAAGGAATTTGTGATATCTCCTCACCCAGGCTCCCTCCCCAGGCTCCCTCCCCAACTCCCCCTCCCCAACTCCCCCTCCCATCACTAACCCGCCTTCCTTTCATTCCCCAAATTGCAATTACCTTTACAGGAAGATTGCGGTGGGAAGAAAAGGTGCCAGAGTACTAAACTGACTAACCTTATTGAAATCATGATAATCAGATTTATGCGTCAGTGGGGCTGTATTTCCACGAGATTTAACATCATTTGGAAGTTAATAGAACAACCCCACGACTTACGCTCATCGAACCGTCTTTCAAGGGGCTGCCCAACTTGTATTTTGAGTTCTCTATATTTCGGTTCTTAATGAAGTAAGTTGGCATCACCCTTTTTTACAACCAAATCAAAATATCTTTTCTGGAAGTCTGGACCACTTTACGTCTTCAAGTCTTGCTTGAAATTTTCTTAAGATCTTTATCCACATTATCTTCTAGTCGTGTTTAGATGGCGAGATGGAGACTTAAGATACAATGGATATATNATGGCCTGCTCCCAGTTGGCTTGTTAGCTCAATTGGTAGAGCGCTGCACTAGTATCGCAGAGGTCAGTGGTTCGAATCCCGTACAGGCCTGATTTTTTTCAGGTCTGATTTTCGCTATTGCATAAATAGCTCTATCTACTGCGAAGGATCGTGCATCATACGTATGGAGACTTAAGATTATAACTATTCCAAACCGAAAATATCGCATAACTCACCTCATAGAATCTCATAAAAGATTGCACATATTAAATTTATTTCAACTAAAAGGGACCTAATTCAGTCGTTTGTCAGCGGCATTCTAGATCGTACCGGATATTTTCTCAACCTTGTTGTGCTCACCGTGAGGTCATTTTTTTTTTTTTTTCGAAAAGTTTTGGTTCTATTTTAAAACCTGATTTTTTTACTCCGCGTAAATAACAGGTAAATTACGGGTAAATTACACCCGAAGCCGACACGCAATCTTGACACGGAATATTTTATACGTAATTAACGAGTATAAAAATGAAGTTTATCTTACCTGATTCGTCTGAAGTTTATTCCTTTCCGTCAACTCACAAGATCATTTTGAAGCGTTAAGAAGCGTAACTTATTCTGTTATCGACAGCATCAATGAAAAAAACACTTAATAAGTCGTCTGGTTCAAAAGTATTCTGGCGAACGACTTAAGTAATTACGAGGTTTTTTTTTCTTTTTCGGTTGACACTACATCTCTTTCAGCTGTCTTGTTTTTTTTTTTTTTTTCAAACAAGTAACGAGTGAACTCAAAGCATAAACATATAAATAAACAGTTGACACTTCATCAAAACTTTCAGCTGGTTTACATAAATACCCGAGTACGTCACCTGACATTTTTCATGTATCACATCCATTCCGAGCATCTTCGAAATTTTAACTGAGCTTCAGGCAAGGTATATTCGTTACTGTTTTCACCAAACAAAGCCGGCGGTTCGCTACTGTTTTGTCAAATGATTGATGTCATTGATGACCGGATAGGATCTAAGAGTGCATCGAATGTATGTGATTCAGGCATCATTGGTTCGTGTTACAGGAAGATTGAAAAATATTTACAGTTACATGTACTTGGTAGCAGCTTGTGGACAGTTTTCTATGCGTTTACCCGCCCACTTCCGCCCCCCCCCCTTTTTTTTTTTTTTTTTTCACATTTTTCTATCATATCTTTGCGCTTCGACGCAGCGTTTGCAAGTTTTCAAATTTGGTAACTGAGGGCAGGTTGTGTATTAATAAAGCTACACGATGGAATGTATGTAAAAAAGAAAAACGACCGAGAGGAAAAATAGTCATTGAGAAAGATTCAACAACTTTTAGACGAGTGTGGCTCTAAAATGAGTTAATTTGGTTCGTAATAATGTTTCCTTTGAGGTTCCTCTGGCCGTGTTCATTATTTTATTTGTAGCCAACTTATGCCCGAGGTGTAAGGGCAACTGCAAAGGGAACGGACATTGGGCGGTGGCGAGGCTTTAATTGCCTTTACAAACATTAACTCAACGCCCTCGGTATAAAGAATGGCCCGAAAATTAACTTCTAAATGCATCCTTCCTCACAGAAACTGTTGTTTGAGCCATGAACGCGTGAAAAGCATTTGAAAACACAGCTTGTGCGGGCAAAACCCTAAACCCTACGCTTTGATGAACCATTTTTTGCGTCTTCATAAATGCACATATGCGTCTAGTTTAAATTAAACTTAAAAAGAGGATGCCGTAACAGTTCTTTTAAGCCTCCCGCCTCTATCAGTTCTCGTCTGGACGTTCAAGTCTCTGATAAGCCTCGCCTTATCTAAAACGTACCCTCCCCTAGTCTTTTTTTAACACGGTTCACATTACCAAGAGAACATTACCAGCTCATATTCTCTTGATTTGAACACACAAAACACTTCACAAATAAACTTTGCATATGACTCCGCAAGTCAGCAAGTAACTGGAAGAGCATTCAACCCGGATTTTGGGGCAGATCAAGGTTCCATTTCTTAAGAGGGACTCACAATTTTATTTGTCCAACTTTCTTAATTATTTGAAAAATGTTTCACACATTTCTTTGCACTTGCTAGCCTACATGTGTTCTGCAGCATACACTGATCACAAGCGTTTTTAATGCACCATTCCAGATCAAGTTACTCATGATTTAGCATTATTCAGAAATAATTATTTTTTCAGAGGCTACACTGCCAATTTGCACTTCACATGGTGGAATATACAACAATTCCCAACAAAAGAGAACTAAACAGCTTGCTAAAAACTTCTCTACATTTGAAATGAAGTAAGTTGATGTAAAACTTTTATTAGAGCAAAGTTCTGAAGGAAACTTCAAAATACTTGTTCAGGTCTCCATTGCATACTTCAGAAGTCCAGTACTTATGCTGTAATCCACCAAGTAATGAAAAACAACCACAGAGAAAAAAAACACTCCAAAGTCCTTTAGAACAGCCAGAAGGGCAGTAAAAATGGAATTGATTCTGTGGGTAAATTCTACTGGAATTCCACAAAGTTGCAAGGCAACAGTAAGCAAGGAAATAAAGGCAGATTTGGATGTCTGGAAAAAAAAAACTTATTTTACGGACAGAAAGCTTTAACATACAAATGTTTCATGTAGGTATATGCAAGGACTACACTAAACACATATGCCATGCATTGTAATAAGGAATTTCAAATATTACCTTTTCGGAATACTACATTATAATCATGATTAAACTCTGTGGAATTTCATAGTGGAAACCATTTTGATTTTGAAATCACATACATGTATATGATTTTAATCCACAATATATTCAACTCATGATAGAGGGGGCAAGTTTCAAAAGAAACAGTGGTGTTGCATCGGTGTGGGGTATTACAAGATAATTTGGTTTTAACAATTGATTCAATAATGTAAATTGGCCGACATTTCAAGCATCAGCCCTTTGTCATACACTCTGACATTAAACTTAGTTTGGATAGCATGATCATACAATGTAATTGTTTCTCTATATAACCATTACTAACTACACATAGTCTGAGGAAATGTTTGGAGACCAAAGGGAGTATTCTGTGACAGCACAAAACATTTGTACTGTACAGAGTAACTTACCTGTCTGAAGCTTGGTAGACAAACAAACAGTAGCTGCAAGGCTACAAATGGCCATATCATGGACTGAAATAAAATAAAAAATAGGTCTAAACAAAAATGGCCCACGCTGATAAACAATTTCAGAATTGACAAAAACCTTTCATGCACACTCAGTGTAGTTCAATTAAGAAGAAAATAAAAATGAAATTAAAACAAATTTCTACGTGAACAGATAAATACAAAGATAACTCATTGATTAATTAAATATCTTAAAAAATATTTGATAAACACAGCTGAGCCTCTTGAGTAAATGCACAGTTATCAAAATGGGTCATGTAAAAATCTTTCTCCATTCCTATGATTGGAGGTGGATATCAAGACAAACATCAAGTCTCAGGTTAAGAACATACAAACTGTTCCAATGGGGTCTTAAACTGCTATCTAAAAAGTAAAATTTAAAATCCAAGCTTTCACCAATGAACGGCATCATTCATCAACCCTGATGATACCACTGATCGGCGAAAGCTTGGATTTTAGATTTTACTTTTTAGACAGCAGTTTAAGGCCTCATTGGAACAGTTTGTATGTTTTTAATTATGCTGCTGAAGGACAACATGAACAGATAATCTCAGGTTAAGGTTGAGGGTGAAATGTTTCATTCAGGGAGAGACTTCATCCATGTACACTGTACAATGTCATGTATTTGGTAGTTCTGGAATTCAACAACAGAACCTATGGTGTAGGAACCCTACACCATAAATAAAAAATACATTTAAATAGCTTTACTATTTATATAGAGCTTGTCACAAGCCTCTTAGCTCTTTAAAACATGAAAGAGAGGGAAATAAATATTGCAAATAAAAATTAAGTGCGAGAAAATCCAAACTGGCAGGAAGTAGACCAGTTGGCTATTTACATAGCACAGCTAATAAGTTGAACTCTGGGTGACCCAGAACAAATCCAGAGAGTTGCAGGTTGGAGGACTGGAGGGAGGGAGGACTGGAGGAGCAGGTTGGAGGACTGGACGACTGGAGGAGTAGGTTGGAGGACTGGAGGGAGGGAGGACTGGACTGGAGAAGCAGGTTGGACGACTGGAGGGAGGGAGGACTGGACAACTGGAGGAGCAGGTTGGGGGACTGGAGGGAGGGAGGACTGGACGACTGGAGGAGCAGCTTGGAGGACTGAAGGGAGGGAGGACTGGACGACTGAAGGAGCAGGTTGGACGACTGGAGGGGGGGAGGACTGGACTGGAGGAGCAAGTTGGAGGACTGGAGGGCGGGAGAAGCAGGTTGCAGGACTGGAGGGCTGGAGGACTGGAGGAGCAGGTTGGAGGACTGGAGGGAGGGAGGACTGGAGGACTGGAGGGCTGGAGGACTGGAGGAGCAGGTTGGAGGACTGGAGGGAGGGAGGACTGGAGGACTGGAGAGAGGGAGGACTGGAGGACTGGAGGAGCAGGTTGGAGGACTGGAGGGTGGGAGAAGCAGGTTGCAGGACTGGAGGGCTGGAGGACTGGAGGAGCAGGTTGGAGGACTGGAGGGAGGGAGGACTGGAGGACTGGAGGGAGGGAGGACTGGAGGAGCAGGTTGGAGGACTGGAGGTTGGAAGACAGGAACCAGATTACATGCTCAACACCCTTGGTATTGGCATGATATAGGGTGTATGGGTTGAAGAAAGCACAGTGAGAGTAAAGTGTGTTGCCCATGAACACAATTAAATAATTGTGGCAGGGATGTTTTATCATCACCTTCTTGGGTTGAGGAAAGCACAGTGAGAATAAGTGTCTTGCCTATGAACACAACACAATGACCCAAATCAGGCTTGGACTCTGGCTTCTCAGTCAGGAGTCCAACAGGTCTACCTTGTCTCACACAAATTAGTTTGATACGCAGCTTTATGTTAGACCCCTTCAAATGGCAAGGATGGAGTGCACTCACCAGGAGATCAATGGAGGAAAGTCTCAGTTATCTTTAACTCTTTAAACCCTAGGAGTGCCAAGTATCTCCCAGTGACGTCTCCTCTCATTATCACTGGTTAATCACACATTAAGGTGGCTGGTACTAGTTTTCATCTTTTTGATGGTTTGTAACTTTGAAAGAATACAACAAAAAGACTGACCAAGGCCAGTTGAACACTTTTACAGGGTTGAATTATATAATCATTGGTTATCCAAAAATAGATGTCATTTCATCACTAGCAGTTTCCATGGCAACACTTTCAAAGGATTGTTCAGATGCATTTTTTAGCTTATGGCTCAAATAATTTGAAAACTAACACGGTGACCCCGTGATTTTTCTTAGTGATTGCTTTCGGCACTTGAAAAGGAAAATGCACAAAGATTTTAAAAAAATTCTACGAAGTGGAATTTCAGAAAATCTAGAGAAAGGCAATTTTCACACATTGCAAATGTCCTTTTGAAGAATTTTCTATTTTTTTTTTCTGATTCCTTTCAACATTATTATCATATTGGAACAATAAAAAGAAGGGGACACCAGACTTGTTTTCATTCAATAGCTTTCATGAGTTTAGCAATTCCCATGCGCATTCTAACGCATTTAAAAATCTGGATTCTATAAGATCCACATTTGCTCATGATCTGTTATAGCTACTGCCGACTATGGCGAGTGTTCACGCGAGCACCTACGATCTGATGTTTCCAGACGTTTACTGATTAGAAAATCATTCAATAGCCATCAAAGACGGCCTCCTGGGCTCATCTTAAAGGACCTACTCACAACTTCTGGTTATATTATATTATTTTCCTTGAAGTTTCACAATCTTCTTCACTTCAGACAGATTATCCTTCACTTGAGTTCTCCTTTTTTCGCCATCGCAAGATTTCATGTCAGTTCGATATTTTGTTTAGATGTGAAGCAACCTTTACGCCTCCGAGAATCGTCTTCTTTATCCTTGCTTCTGTCTCCCGCATATGCAGTGGCCGTTCAACACATCAAATATACGCTGTTAGGTAAACTTCTTACAAAAGTAGAAAAAAGCCTTGCGCCGCCATCTTTGTTTTGAATTTTTGTCTTTTAATCTCACGCTTCTTTCGCACATTTCTCTCACGCATGATGCAAGAGTGACCTGTTTCCCGCATAAAGAAACTAGTACTAGCCACCTTAAGGTCACAAGAATAAAGAAAATGATAAATATCTGATGGAAATCTTGATTGTTTACAAATTCTCTTTGTCACCACCATAGGAAATGTAGAGAGTTCAGTGAGGAGAATATGCATGCTGGCATCAGGGAGTAGTATTCCCTTCCAAGATGCACTCTTCCACCATATCTGGCTCCAAGGATAAGAATGGCACAAATACTCAAAACAGTAGGTATATACATGTATATATTAATATATATAATTTGAGTCTGAAAAGAGTTACAGATCTCATCCAAATGTAGCTACCTGTTAAAAATTGGTTGATTTTACAGAAGCTATAAATCGAATGAGCTCATAACGTCCTCATTCTTAAGGCTTCTTACCTCTGACTGGACCAATACAGCCTCATTAGAAACATCATTGCGGCTGTTATCACCCTTTCTAGGGAATAAAACTTCTGAGTTCACGTAAGTCCACCTGATCACCAAAGAGAAAGCCAGTATGACAACAAAAACAGTTCGAGTCAAAATGGCAGTATTGAAGCCGGAACATTCATCACCTAGTGTCTTATCAACAGCTGGTGTTGAAGGAAAATTGTTTTCTGATGATCGAGCTGTTGTAACTTTAGGTACACGTTGTACCTTGCTGTCTAGAGGGGAATTCTCGTTAGCTTTTGAGTCCAGTGATACACAAATACTTTCCTCTACTGAAAATGTATCAGAAGTTTGGTCTCCTTGGTTTTTTTGCCCCGGCAAAACCTTATTTTCTCCAGTTGTACTATCACCTGCTTCCGTATCGATTGACAGTATATTCTTGCTGGAATTATCTGCATTTCTTGCGGAGGAAGAATTGGAAACATTTCCATTTGTTGCAAGATTAGATTGTGAAGTGTCAGGATGGCTTGAGCGACTGCCTAGAATTCTCTGAAGGCGACTCTCTGAGTTTTCCAGTATGTTTTTTCTTCTTCTCTGAGCACGGCGCTCGGCGGCAGACATCTTGAATATAAACTCCTCCCTAGTCCTACGCTACATAAGCTTCCGTGGCAACCTGGACCAAACTTGTCGACGCTCTCGGCAAAAGAATACCTTATCCACAGGCAGCGCAAGCTCACTACTAGAAAAGCGGACGTGACTCTTACAGTGTTGCGCAACGTTTTACATTTGTAAAGGTTTGTATGAGATGTTATCGGTTTGCCGTAAAAGAGAGAAAAATGTCTTGTTTTGAATTAAAATGGACTTACCTTATTGCCTTGTTGTTTTCTTTGTTGATTACCAGCGTCTCAGGCCATTTGGAAGCGTTTTCGGCGCTAACTCGGCCGGCAGTACTTCGGCAGTATTTCGGTGAGTTAGCGCTATTTAGCGCGAACTCGCCAAAAACGCTTCAAAATGGCTCCCAGTTGGCTTGTTAGCTCAATTGGTAGAGCGCTGCACTAGTATCGCAGAGGTCAGTGGTTCGAATCCCGTACAGGCCTGATTTTTTCAGGTCTCATTTTCGCTATTGCATAAATAGCGCTATCTACTAAGAAGGATCGTGCATCAGACGTAAAGATAACTTTATTCCCCAAAGCGTCACGCGTAACGTAATACACATTGTAACATCCTTCCTTTTTTTGTGTGTTTTTGTGAGTGAGATGAGGGTAACAATATGAACTAGCAAATTGAGCAACAATGTAGCGAAAGAAAAAAAAACGATTACTAAATACAGGCAATAAAGGAAAGTAGATGAAAACAAAACGTCACAATCTCATTGTTCCGTATTGGTTTGTCTCTCGCAACAGCGTTCAAGTTAGCACTTAGTCTCTCAGCCTAGCTGGTGGCTTAATGGCACGGCCTGATCGGGAACGCTTCGCTGCTCCAGATTCACAAGGGTTGGGCATGGTGGTTGTGTCACTTGTTCCCTCTGCCTGGTTCTGTGGGCTGGCGTTGTGCTGTGTGTCTTGTCCTGGGGTGGTCACCTTACAGTCAGCACTTGGCATAGGGTGAGGTTCTTTGGCAAGGTCTTGTTGCTTGGAGGGCTGTGAGGTTTTCACCAGGTGTTGAATACCCCAGCTCTTGGTGAAAGCGTGAAATTCACTTGACACAAACTTAGGTCCATTGTCAGAGACCAGCTGTCTGGGAATCCCGTATCGAGCAAGATGGGCTTTTAGCTTCTTGATGAGCGTTGTGGACTTGGTGTCAGTAAGGCGGTCCAGCTCCCAGAAGTTTGATTTGTAACAAGCAGTGATGAGGTAATCTTTACCATTACATGACAACAGCTCGCAGCCAATCTTCTCCCAGGCTCGTTCAGGAATGTCATGGCTCATAAGAGGTTCCTTGCAGAGTCTGTTCAAAATCTCTACACGCCTCACACGCTTGTATCCACTCTTTTATCTCTTTACTCATTCTAGGCCAAAATACATATTCTCGAGCTCGTCGCAGGCATGTGTCGACGCCTTGGTGTCCAGCGTGGATGTCCTTTTTTATCTGATGCCTCATGTCCTTTGGTATAACCAATCTCTCGCTCCGGAAGATGAGGCCATCAGTGACTGCCAGTTCGTCACGGATGCTGAAGTATGGTGTGACAAGGGGTGATAGTTGGGTCTTGTCTTTTGGCCAACCTCTTAGAATGGTCTACTTAAGCTGTTGTAGCGCAGGATCGCAGTTGGTGTGTTGACGCGTTGCCTGGATTCTCTTATCAGACATCACAAGGTAGGTGGGAGCATTGATAATTTCAAATTCTTCTTGCGTGTCGTGACAGGTCAGGGGAAGGTATGCCCGACTCAAGGTGTCGGCCAGGAACATTTCTTTGCCATTCAGATACTGCACATCGATGTTATAGGCGAGAGCGCGTACCAACATGCCTTGAAGGCGCTTGGGGGCTCTGTCAAGGGGTTTCTTCGTGATGCTCTCTAATGGTTTGTGGTCGGAGTGGATGGTTACATGACGACCATAGGTGAATTGGTGCCACTTCTCGAGAGCGAATACAATGGCGAGCATCTCCTTCTCGATTGTTGCGTACCTTGTTTCGGTATAACTGAGAGCTCTGCTGGCATGCGCTAAAGGTCGTCCTTCTTGTAGGAGTGCTGCACCTAGGCCTTGCTCACTGGCATCACACTGAATTGACAGTTCTTTAGTCGAGTCAAAGTAGGCCAGCACAGGAGCTTGTGTTAGAAGACGTTTGATTTCTTCAAAAGCTTTGTCATGAACAGAGTCCCAGGTCCACTCAACATCGGGGTGGGTCAGATCATTGATGGGACGCATGACATCAGAGAGTTTAGGGACGAATCTTGAGAGGTAGTTGACAGTCCCTCTCAGTCGTTAAACACCCGCCTTGTCTGTAGGCGGCTTCATCTTGACTATTGCATCAATCTTGGCGGGGTCAGGCTTAAGACGATTGCTGCTTACGACGAGGCCCATGAACGGAATTTCCTGTAAACCAAAACGGCACTTGTCTTTGTTGAGAGCAATTCCGATCTCACAGCAGCGTTGTAGAAACAAACGTACCCGCTCATCATGTTCATCATCTGTGCGGTCCCAGATGAGTACATCGTCGGCAATGCAGCGGACACCCTGGAGACCCTCCAGTGCCTGGTGGAGCCTTTTCTGGAAGATCTCTCTGCTAACCGTGAGGCCGAAGGGGAGACGGCACCAGCAATAGCGTCCAAATGGAGTTACAAATGTGGTCAGCAGACTCGAAGGGTGGTCAAGTTCGCAGTGCAGATAGCCTGCTTTTAGGTCGCAGACAGAGCACTTGCACGCTTGAGATAGTTCTGGAAGGATGTCCTCTAGGGAAGCTAGCTTGTAGTGTTATCGTTTGAGGGCTTTGTTGAGAGGGCGGGGGTCTATGCAGATTCTGACACCGGACTTTTTCTCAGCGACAGACATTTGACTCACCCAATCGGTGGGTTCATCCACAGGCACAATCATACCAGTGTCCACAGGGCGCTGGAGCTCGGCTTTGACTACATCTTTACGTGACTCAGGCAGGGTGCGCGCACTTCGAATCACCGGGGAGGCACCTTCAGCAATTGTGAGGTGTACCTTCTTGCCAGGGAGTGTGCCAGGTATTTCCTTGAAGGTGTCAGGAAATAGTTGGACATAGTCACGTTAAGGTGACGAAACTGCATTTACGACCTTGAACTTGTCATAGTGTACTGTGATGAGATTCATTTTCTGTGCCGCTTTCCCACTTAGTAAAGGGGTGAGTTCCTTGTCAACGATGACAAAGTCCACTTTGAAGCTTTGCTTTGTGGTCGGATTCACAACTTTTATTTTGCATTTGCCGAGGGCTTGCAAAGAGGTTTTGTTCCACATCTGCAGGTTTATCTTTTCAGGGCGAATTTGGGCATTTTCAACGTAGTGCTTGGGCAGAATAAATACAGTAGAGCCACAGTCAATTTGTAGTCTCAACGGCTTCTTGTTAACTTCCATTTCACAGAAGATGAGTTGGTTGCCAGGTTGGACTGCGTTGACGAATTGATCCTGATCAGTCGAAATTCCACTTATGGTTTCACTGTTGCTTTCAGAGGAGTCGGTAGAGTAGTCTTCACCAACAGAGTAGGCGCTGTGGTGCTTACACTTTAATGACATTTGAAAGTGGTTTTTTCCACCACAGGCCATGCAGGTCTTTCCCCACGCGCGGCATAGTTCCTTCCTCATGTGGTGAACTTGGGTGCAGAAAAGACACTTTCTTTTAGTAGCGCGCGGATCACTAGTTTCTCAAGATTTTGCTTTACCGGAATTGTCTTTTACTCCGTGCTTTCCTTTTCCATGATCTCCAGATTTTCCTTTAGGTTTGTGCTTGTCGCCACCAGGCTTTTTCTTATTAAATTTATTGATCACCTTATTAATCTCTCCACTCTTGAGAACTTTCATGTGAAGAGAGGCGGCCTCTTTTGCACGACAAAATTTCGATGGTTTTGCTCAGTATAAGATCGTGTGTAGAGAGGAGTTCCTCACGAGTCTTGTCATCTGAGATCCCTAAGAGAAGACGATCCATGAGCAAGAGTTCACGCATGCAATCGCAGAAGCCACAGGTAATACAGAGATATACTCATTAATAGACTCACCAGATTCTTGATTTCGGCGATTAAATTGGAAGCGCTCGAAGAATTCTTGTTTTTGACCGACAACATTGAAGTGCTGATCATATTTCATAAGAATGTCAGCCATCTTGTTGCGATCTTCACCTTCACTGATTTTCATTCCGTTGAAAAGTCGCATGGCTTCAATGCCAATGCAGTGCACTAGCATGGCACACTTGTAATCTTCACTTTGGTCATTTAGACCGGCAAGGAGATAGTAGTTTAACCATCGTTGTTTCCACAAATTCCAGTTATCGGCTCGATCGCCGTCAACTTCGAGTGATTTTGGCGGGGTGATTTGCGGTCGCCGAAAACCGGGATTTTCTGGAGCTTGAGCGGCGGGAGCAGCAGCGGCTTCGGAGTTAAGCATGTCGTTCCAGGCTAGGAGACGGAGGTGTACGAACTGCAAGGAGTTTCCGACAGATGGGAATAGTATCGACAGTTTCCAGAGAGTACACGATGAGAAATCGAGACAATGCTTGAGTAAGGCAGTAAACAATGTTCGAAGGAGAGCGAAGTTCTTGAGGGTTCGACGAGAAAACGACGACAGCAGTAGTCACTGTTGAACGTTAACTCGGGACCGCTGCCACCATGTAACAATATTGGACGGATATTGTTGATAAGAACGATGCAAAAAGAGAGTTTCAGTGAGTCCACACGTGTTTTTAAAATGGCCGATGAACAAAGATAACTTTATTCCCCAAAGCGAGGTCATGACTTAAGCGTCACGTGTAACGTAATACACATTGTAACAAACAGCTCTCATATTTAATTGAACAAGGTTTTAAATTGCAAGAGATTGCTACCATGCTTGGAGTAAGTTGCAGAACAGTTAAGAGAAGAATGATGTCATATAGACTAAGTGTGTCAGGTACATACTATTGTTTAAGCTAGGATATTATGAGGACAGTCCAGCAAATACGAGATATCGTC